CACCAAAGTCGGCCAAAGAGGAAGAAGGTGGGGTGGACGTCTTCCCGTGGGCTTGGGGTCGACCTTCGACTCGAGCTACTCTCTTTCGTTGACAAAGACTCGAAACTCAGAGAGTGGGGGACTCATGATGGATTTATTAGGAAAAGGGACTTGGGACAAACCGACCCGGAGGTCGCGGCGTGATGCGAAGAGCCTAGGGGACCCCAACGGGGTCCCCGGCGAAGACCTCGGCTGAGGTCTACTACGAGGACCCCAGTGGGGGGACGACCACAGCGCCGGCGAAGGTCAGGGTCAACCTGGGCATCGGCCTCGTCCCCACGTGACTCGGTCAATCTCCGGCGTGGACCTCGGGCGAGGACTACCATGGGGGACCCCAGGGCGAGGACTACCACTGGGGTCTCCCCGCGTGACTCGGTCAACCAAGATCCAACCGCCCACCCTATTCTCTTGGGGTCGGTTGGGAGGATTGCTTAGTATAAAAAGACATCTCCTTGTCTTTGTTAGGACATCTACATTTTATATCACTACTACACTCTTTGTAATTCCCCTACAAAAAGATCATTAATACAACGATTGTCCCCGTGACACACACATGCATTGTCTTTTCCTATTTATCATTTATTGGATTTAGTGATTCGGGTCTACCCTGGGTAATTAAATCCATCAATTCTCAACATTATTATTTTTATCCATAGTATGTTGAGACTTATATGCTAATTACTTATATATATTATTAATAAACATAAAAAAAACTATTTCATTAGAAATTCATGACAATATTGAACAATAAAAATTTATAATAAAAGAATTGATCAAATAAAATATTTAAAAATATAATTACATGTTTCATAAAAAATAAAAATGTAATATTAATATATATATATATATATATATATATATATATATATATATATATATATATATATATATATATATATATATATATATATATATATAATTATACTTGATATATTGCTAGGAATCATGCAAAGAACTATTATTTGCAATAGCAATTTGAGACTGCGAACAACAACAAGGTGCTACTGTTTGCAACTCCAAATTTTTGTTGCGAACAGTAGTCCGCTATTCATAGTAACCTGTTGTTAAAAAAAAAAGGAAAAATATATATTACGAATATAAACATAAAAAGAATATATAAAAATCAAAATATATAAGTATTTATATGAATATTATGAAACATATACTAAAATTTGCTTTGTTCATGTATTTAGGGAGAATAAGAGAAAGTTAGGGATAAAAAAAATTCATTAAAAAAATAAAAATAAATATAAACAAGCAATAATGAAGTAAAAATAATATTATTTTGAATTTTTAGAGGAAGATTGTAAAGTTTATTAGGAGGGAGAAAATTGGTAGAGTTTAGGTATGAGGAAAATATAGGATAATGAAGAAAAAAATAATTTTATTACATTTATATGGGTTTATAAAGTTTAAATAGAGAAAAGAAATAGAGTTTAAATAGAGAGAGAAAACATTCAAAGGTGTTAGAAAGAAAATTTTGAAATCTTGGGGTTGATGGTTGGATTTCAACTATTTATATTTGAGAAGGAAAAGTCTACAAAAGTCCTAAAATTAAAAAGTCAACAAAAGTTCATAACTTTTTGAATACCACATGACTTTTAAAGACTCTCTAAAAGTCTTAATCGAATACCACATGACTTTTAAAGACTCTTTAAAAATCATGATTGAATACCGCCTGACTTTTAAAGACTCTCTAAAAGTTTGAATTGAATATCTCCAAACTTTTAAAGTTCATAAAAGTCTTTAAAACTCTATGAAAGTCATGATTGAATACAACCCCCTAAACAAAAAAGGACAAAGAAAATTGAGGGTTTTAAAGTGTAGATATTTAAATCTTATAATAAGCACGCACTTCTAAAGTGAGACATATGTTTCCAAAGCATCTTTAATTAGAGGGTATTTGGTAAGCTTCAAGAAGAGTTTGGCCTATTTGGTAAATGGCTATTAGTTTATTGGATTAATTAGAGGGTATAACTAGTTGATATGACTAGCTGATTGCAGAAATGTGTTTGGTATGAGAGAGAGAGATTTTTATAGTTGTTCGGCTGTTAACAAATTACACCACCAAGTTTGTCTCCTTGATCACTAAGCTGGACAACAAACTTGCACGTAGGTTTTTCAACTTCTCCAAGTTTACAAGGTTGCCTCTATGCAGTTACAAGTTAACTTCATCTCTACCAAGGACGAAATAACTTATATTTTCACTAAAGATTTGGCCTCCTCACATTTCTGTGTGTTGCATCACAAGTTTCGTATTGCTTCTTGCCTTCCTTCAACTTGAGGGGAGTATTATGAGTACTATTTGTATTAAGAATGTACTATATGTCATTTCCTTAATAAGTTAATACCCATTTTGATCCCTCGACTATTAAGTATTGCTTAATTTAGTCCCAGACTTTGTAATTAAATTACCCAATTTATCAGGACTATGTGGTCTAATGGTACCCTGGTTGGACTTCCATTTAGAAGGTTGTGAGTTCGAGCCTCAGTGAAGGCGTTATTAGCTCTTTGTGTTTCAGTAGGTTGAGAAAGTATATGAACAGATACTAAATTGTAATAGAGCCAGTAGCATTCAAAAAAAAAAAAAAATACCCAATTTAATCCTCTAACTTGTAAAATCAACTCAATTTGGTCCTCCGTTACAAAAGGCATCCAATTACCATTACTTTGAGAGGCAAAAACGTCAATCACCGTTCTAAGAACCCTTCCTCAGGCCATCCCTCGCGTAAACACTCCCTTTTTTTCTTTTTTTTTTTTTTCTAATTTGATTACATAGCATTCTCAGCCCTAGATTTGCGCTACCATTCTCAGCCCCTGTAACACCCCACTTTCTTATCTCTTAATTACAACCCTAAACAGTCATTAACATAAACTAAGCAGCGGAAATAAACTAAAAAGATAACTAGTGGGAGTGTCATCGCCACAACCACCACTCCAAGGTGATTGCACAGACTAAGGGGTGAAACTAGAAATAAGATAAAAATCTGACATCCATAAAATACTGGAAACATAAGGGGGAAAAACGTCACCCCAAAAGTCTACAACATCCTCAAAACCATAATATCGAAATAAGTCTAAAATCCATAACAAGTCATCAATAACTAGAGTTTAGACATCTCTAACTACGACACTAATCTAACTCGATCTCTTCTCACTGCTGGGCCCACCTGAAAGGGGTTTTGCAAGCAACACATAGACAAATAGGAAAACACCCGTTAGCACGAAGCTAAGTATAACCACACTCAACCCTGCAAAGTATTCTAGCATTTACTTTGAAAACATTTGATTTCTTTATAGCAATAAGCTCATCTCAAATCATCTTTAGATTTATCACATTCTTTCTAGATGCTTGCACCCTATAATATCAGATGGCATGCTCATATATGTATAAGACTGTTCACGTAGATTCATCAACATATAGACTTCTCAAATAGCTTATCAAGCAATTCATGCTTACAGATATGTTCATGCTAAAAGACCATATAACAGGTGTTCACATGCTTTCACATTCTTATCACATACTTGATAAGTAGAGCTTCTAGTACGACAAGATAATCATGCTCAAAGGAATATCTTAAGTCAAACTTCTCGTTATAAAATCTCATACGATACTCTACTCGCATGCAATCAAGTATAACACTATAATCATACTTCTTATGCAATCTCATGCAATACTATATACATTGTCATATGCAATCTCGTGCAACTATATACTCATACTCATATGCAAACTCATGCAACAATATAATCATACTCTTATGCAATCTAGTGCAATAAATATACTCATGCTCATATGCAATCTCGTGCAACAATATACTCATGCTCATATGCAATCTCGTGCAACATTATAACCATACTCTTATGCAATCTAGTGCAATAATATACTCATGCTTATATGCAATCTCGTGCAACATTATAATCATACTCTTATGCAATCTAGTGCAATAATATACTCATGCTCATATGCAATCTCGTGCAACAATATATATATAAATACTCATACACTCTTTTATAAAATAGAGTACTTTCTGTGGAGGTCTCTTTGTTACTTTCTTGAGTCTTTCTTGACTCTCTTTCTTTCACTTGAGTCTCTTTTGACTCTCTTTCTTGAATCTCTATTGACTCTCTTTCTTGAGTCTCTGTTGACTCTCTTTCTTGAGTCTCTGTCGACTCTCTTTCTTTCTCTTATACTCGTAGACGGCTTAGGGTTTCACCGAAGGGTGAATTACCCCATCGGAAACGGCATAAATTCGACCCAATATCTCCTACCGTCTACGGAACCAATCTCGTGGTTCAAACTTTGTGGAATCAGGTATCGAACTATTAGTGTGCACACCCCCTAACCAGGATTCCAAGCCTGGCGGGCAGTTTCCAACCTCGTAACGTGGGAATACGCCGCGCTACATATACTGGGACCGCAATGTCCATAAATATCTCCCGAGAGGACATAGTCCAAACGGTATCCTCCAAAACCTCACCAATATAGATAATACATAAGTATATCTCTCATGCATCAATCCCATGCATGCAACAACTCTACTACTTCTCAATGCATCAAAGAATGATATACCACATGCTTATGGTTTTTGAAAGTAATACTTGGGCTCACGTTGGCCCTTTATGCACTTTTGAAATATGACATATGTGGGATGTCAAAATACTCTATAACATGCTTCTAAACCATGTATAAAATAACATGAAGTACTCAAGAATTCAATATCATGCTCGGTTTGCATCATAGCAAATTCTACACATTCCAGCAACAAAATATGCTACATTTCTCATTGATCAAATATCACAATCTAGTCATGCTTTCATAATAAATCATATTCTCAAAGGATCATGCTTGTATAATAAATCATACTCTCAAAGGATCATGCTTCTCTACTCAATAAAATAACATCAGATTTACAAAGCCAAGCATTCTTCATATACAGAGAACTAAGCAAATATGCACTGTGTGGAAATTCTTCAACAAATCCTTCACATCTTACTCATTTTTAATCCAAATTCAACGAAATCAAAGCCAAAACGTGCGTCGAGACGATCCCGAAGAGCCGAGCCACAAGGACCCGTAACACTCGGCCCGAAATGACACGTAGCTGAGCCACAAGGGCCTGGCCACTGCACAAATTCTCCTTAGAATCAAACTCAGGGACTTGGGGCGGGACTCCTCAAGAGCCGCCCCATGAGCCCCGTTACTCCAACGGGACTATGCGGAGGCCCTCCTCTAGGGCCGTGCCCTAGTCCCGTGTAGCTACGGTCCTAGCCGGCGGCCCTCCTGATGGGCCGTGGCTAGGGCGGCTGGTCTGAATCTGGTGCACCCTGTGTGTGCACCAGATGGCAATTTCATCTGCAAAACTCAACCAAACAAGTCCAAAACAATCTCAACAACTCACAAACAAATATTAGATCACTTTTAAGCATAAACACAACAAAATCTCATAGTTTCTACTCATTTCTACTCAATACTAAGGTTTCACAGAGCCAAATTTTAAAGAGGAATCCATGGGGTTATACCTCTTGTAGCTTCTTCTTCTTATGTGGTTCCCTATCCTTTCCTGCTCAGATGCTAACACCTTCACCACCTATTCCCTCACACAAACATAGGTATATGCTATGCTTAATACAACCTCAGAGATGGGGAGGCAAGGGTGGATGATTAAAGAGCAAAAGGAAATTGATAGAGGAGAATGAAAGTTAGAAACATACTGCTTTGCTTCTTCTTTGTTTACAGAAAGCTCAGGGATAGGAGAGGCAAAGAGATGGATCAGATGAAGGTAAGGTGAAATGATTCTATTTATATGGGTGCAAAACCCTAGGTAGATCACCAATGATTGGTGGAGGGCAAAGTGGTCTTTTGGCTTACATCTTTAAAATATCAGACATGGCCTTGTGGTTCACCTTGTATCATGGACCAAGGGCTAGAAATGCTAACTTTAAATACTTTGGGGTTGAAAATGAATTTTCTCAAAAAACTATTTAGATGAACTCTTGTTTAAAATCTTTTTGAATTCTCCTGGTCTCACTCAGATAAATTTCTCGATTTAAATCTTGGTACGCGAAGTACCCGAAAACTTAGGAATTTCGAATAGAATCAAATTTTGGTGTCGAATTAATTTAAAAAAATGTGACGAAAATAATTTATTCAAACATCAATTGATCCCAAAAATTTTTAATGGAGTGAAAATGGCTATTTTGGAATTTCTTAATACCGGATTTATAAAATAAAATTTTGGGTTGTTACAGCCCCAGCTTTGCGCCATTGCTATAAGTTCTCCACGAAGAATGAAGGGAAGAAGCAAAATAGGGAGATTTCTTCATCATCTTCTAGCTCAGTAAAGCAAAGACTACACTTTAGAGAAGTAATTCCAATTCTCCATTTTAATTATGGTAATGATTTAACCGTTCAAACCTCATGGAGTTCTTATAATCTTGGTCGAAGGTTTTGGAATTGTGTTGGTATCAATGTAAGCAATTAGCATTATTTTGAATTTTTTTATAGTTCCAATAGAATTGTGTTGGTATTTAAAGAATTTAAGCAATTGTGTTGGTTCTAAAGAAGTGTGAAATTTTTAAGTTTATTTCTAAGGGTTTAGGATTGTGTTGGCAACCATATTTGTATTTGTATTTTTATTGTGTTTCAAAGTTTCCAGTAGCATGGTCGACAGCCAGTAGTAGTATGTGTATTGGTGTTTCTTGTAAGGTTCCGTAGCTACTTTTTATTTATTTATTTTGAATTTTTAACAAACTTCTTATTCAGTACCTTGTTCATAAATTTCTAAAGGGCATGCACTCATGTGGGTTTTTTGATTGGTTTGATCCTCCAATATGTTCAAGGTCGAAGAAGATCATTCCCGGATTGTTGAAGAGCGTGAACTTATATGAGGAAGAAATTGAGAGGCTCAAAGCATTATTATGAAGTGCAAATGGTCCAAAGAAGCCTAGTTGTGAGAACGACAACAAGAAGTGGCAAGTGATAGTTATGTTGTTCTTGGTAGCAATAGGAGTAGCTATGATTAATATGATAGCAAAGGAATGTGGACAAGCTAGTCATGTTTATAGGTTGTCATGAAATTATGTAATTGCTCATTATTCCATATTTAAATTATTTAAGGTTTCTGACATTGATCAAATATAATGTAAGTTTCATTCCTTATGTAATGTTCATTCTTTATAAGAAGTAGTTACATTGATCGAAAAGTTCATAACTTATACACGAAATACCAGAAGTTGAGGCATGCTCATTGAAACTTGGCAGTTCTTCTATTGGAGGATTCCTCAAAACTTGAACCTCTTGATTATGTACCATCTCAACTGCTATTTGAACTTGTTACAAGATATGGATTAGTACATTAAGTTATTACAACCTCAAACATTAAAATAGACTGTCACAATAACCCAAGCTACAAGTACCTCATGCACTGAATTTTCTTGAACAGGTTAGGATTCTACTGGATTTTCTAGTGCAGTTGCTCAAACATGCTAGGGTTCTACTTTAGTTTAACGCTGTGATGATGGAGTTGGCTAATATGATCAAATGAAAAATTTAAGCAATTAGATAGTTAAAAATAATTAAAGTAGTAATAAACAAGAACAAAAAGTGAATACCACATTTAAAGGACACTTCCTACTATTATGGCCTTTTTGTCTACACTTGGTGCAATGCAAAGTCATATGCTTCCTTGATAAATGAACGCCATCTACTGTTAAGTCACTTGAACTTCTTGGTCTTTTTTGTTCCTCATATACTCCTCTCTTTCTCAATTTTTTAGGTCTTCCAGCTCTTGTAGTGTAAATAGGTGGTAGTGGTGCCATTCTTTGTGTTTTAGGCTATCCATTGGAACCAACCATAGGATTTATGAATCTTCCATACACTACCATTTTGTAACATGAATGAACATAATCAATGGGTTTTTCTTTCTTCATCCATATTAGCAACAACAGCATGTCTACAGGGAATTCCAGCGAGATCCCACTTCCTATATGAACAAATTCTTTTGCCCAAATCAACTTTTTCATGTTCATCTGTATGCATCCCATTCAACATCTGATCAAACTGTATAGACATATATCCTCCAGCAGATTTCTCAATCGCAACTAATTCTTAAAGATATTAGGGCAAATTGGGCCATTCCACTTTCTTGCTTCCTCCTTTTTCTCAAATAATCTTTTCAATAGAATCTCCCTCAAACACTCAAGACAATTTATTAGAGGATTTTCCCTTGCATCTAGTATCATTGCATTAAAACATTCAGATATATTATTCACCAAAATATCACACAAACCCTGTTCATTGAAGTGTGTTATAAACCATTCAATAGGGTGTTTGTTTGACAACCATTCAAGTGCATCTAAATCCAATTTTTTCATCCTTCTCATTGCTGCAGTAAAGTCATTTGTTGTTATAGCCCTAGCAGCACTTCACAATGTGTCCTTAATTGCTTTTCCTAGAAAACTAGTGTTGAATGGAGAACTCCATATTTTTCATATATCTCAAACTAAGGAATATACATATTTATACAAGTAACTATATACTAACTAAGGTAAGGATCAGAACCTAATTACTAAGAATATACACATTAATCCCTAATATCATGCTAAATATATTCCTACCGACGGTAAATATGTTACCGGAGAATATAATCGATTACTACAAGTTGTATTGCTTCAGTGTTTTAGTACCAGAATTAGAATGTGTCGCTGCTCAGCAAAGAATCCCGTACTTATATCAGTCTCCTAACGGTAAGTAACGGTTACATCATAATGAGGAGCCGAGCACTTTATTTCTCTTAAACCATGTCTTGAATGAGGGGTAGTAAATGACTCTGAAGTAAATGATTCTGCACGTTGGACTTCTTGAGGTGGTTCCGAGTCAAGTGCTTGTTGGTGGCCCGGGTTGGGTGCTTGTCCCATTATTCTGCCACCTACCATTTATAATGTCTAACACTCCCCCTCAAGTTGGAGCATAGATATTGATCATGCCCAACTTGTTGCATAAGTAATCTACTTGAGGTCCATTCATGACTTTTGTAAAAAGATCTTCTAACTGTTCTCCTGTCTTCACAAACCATGTAGAGATTAAGCCTCATTGTATTTTTTTTTTTATGAATGAAATGACAATCAACTTCAATATGATTGGTTCGTTCATGAAATATAGGATTGGCTGCAATGTGGAGAGCCGCCTGATTGTCACACCATAGCTTCGCAGGAATTAGAGCCTTGAGCCCTATTTGATTTCACAGGTTGCTTGTGTCATTTCTCTATACTCTGACTCTGCACTCAACTGTGATACAATATTTTGCTTCTTGCTTGTCCACGAGATCAAGTTCATACCAAAGAAGACACAAAATCCGGTAGTAGATCTTTGATTCTCCTTAGACCCTGCATAGTCTGCATCTGCAAAGCATTCAATCTTCATATGTCCATGGTTTTGATATACAATTCCACACCGTAGAGCCCCTTTCAAGTAGTTCAAGATTTGTTTTACAGCTCTCCAATGGTCAACAGTTGGAGATGCCACAAATTGACTTACAATACTGACTGAGTAAGCGATATCAGGACGGGCTACAATCTGGTAGTTTAGCTTACCAACCAATCTTCTATATCTTTTTGGATCATCAAATGGCTCCCCCTCTTATGTCAATTGTGAATTAGGGATCATTGGAGTATTGCACGACTTAGCTCCCAGTTTACCTATTTCTGTCAATAGATCAAGTACATATTTTCTTGTGGCGAGAAGTATACGTTTCTTACTTCGTATTATCTCGACACCTAAAAAAATACTTTAATGTACCAAGATCTTTAGTCTGGAACTGACTATGAAAAAAGGTCTTAAGGGATACAATACCAGCGGTGTCACTTCCAGTGATGACAATGTCATCCACATAGGCCACTAATAGGATAATACATGCTTTAGAGCGTTTATAAAAAACAGAATGATCATACTTTCCCTTCAACATGTCAAGCCTCTTCAATCACTTGACTGAATTTCCCAAACTACAGACGGGGGCTTTGCTTAAGGCCATATAGATATTTTCGAAGTCGACAAACCTTACCATATGAGATTGTGAGATCACACCCTAATCATTCATTGTTTTAATTCAAAGGTGAGATTACTTTTATTAGTTTTTGAGATTAGATGCTTAGTGTTAAAATGTAGGGGTTACAAATTAGTCTTTAAATTCAATCCTTACTATTAATTAAAATCAATTCGATGATTGATATGGGATCTCATGATATCATCTACAAGGGTGGTCTCACAAGATCCAACCCATATATATATATATATAGTTGCGGTTCAAGTGCAAGTGGCGCGCCCAAGACCGAAATGCGAATAATTCAGTGCGCTCCATGTATCTAGATCTAGGTGCACCTTTATTATAACTAGGTGCACCTATGTGAAAGTAGGTGCACCCAATCAATGAATGTTAACAAGTCAAAATTACATGCACTTGTAGTTGAAAGTAGAGGCAAAGTTACATGCACTTGTAGGTGAAAGTAGGTGCACTTGTAGGTGAAAGTATGTGCACCCGATCAATGAATGTTAACAAGGCAAAATTACATGCAAGTAAAATGTATTACAAGTGCATGTAAAATGTATTATAGGTGCAAGTAAAATTTACACTGAGTATCAATACTAAGTGCACCTGCCGTTATAACTAGGCACACGAATGTTAATAAGGTAAAATTACTTGCACTTGTAAGTGAAAATAGGTGCACTTGAAAGTGATTTTACTTGCACTTTTTTTTTTACAAAGATGCACCAGCTACTTGCACTTATAACACATTTACTTGCACCAAAGTTTGAGTTATTTACAAAAATGCCACCACGTCGTTTTTTTTTTAAATTACATCTGATTCGTTGATCTGGATACGTGGATGGCTAGCATGCATTCACATTTCTCTCCTGGGCGCCTATTCGCACAGGAGTGCGACCTTGTGTGTGTGTGTGTGTGTGTGTGTGAGTGAGATTAGCGTCAGTCTCTCAGGATGAAACGGATTATAGCTTAAAGTTTGAGCACTCAAACTAAAAGCTCATTGAATTATAACAAAGATCGAGCACATTGTACAATTTACGAAAGTGTTGGCAGAAATTTCTCATACGAAAAGAGTTGAGAGAGGAAGAGAGAAAAACGAAGATCTTGAGAGTTCAAACTGGATTATATATGTTACATATATATCTGAAATTATTTCAGAAGTTAATACCATGGTTTAATGCTATTTACTTCTCCATCTCTATTAAAAGTTTGGAGAACTTAAATTGGATTTTAAAATAGTTGTTACGACCGTTAATTCTTAAAAAATAAGTTAGATTAATTGGAAAGCAATCAATGCGCGCGAGAGAGAACATCTATGCTATACAATTGAAACTCATTCTAAAAAGCTCTTATATATATAGTGGTGCAAATTCACTCCCCAAAACAATGCGGGACAAGTACGTTTTACAAAGTCTTCTCACCTTAATTTCCAACTCAAATAGTTCTACTTTGAGAACCAATTTCTCATTCACTCACTATCCGTTTTAAGCGTACAATATATCAATTTCTTCGTCTCACTACGAAAAGTGCAAATTCACTTTTATCCGACCCAAATAAAAAATGGACTCCACATATGTTTATACCACAAAATAACCACTTACATGTCATTTTTAAGCTAAAATTCCAACAAAATCAATGCAAATGAACACAATTTCATTTTTCATAATAAAAGAAAAATTATCTACTCACTAAACACACTTTCAAAAAAAAAAAAAAAAAATCTACTCACTAAACACACTCTTTGTTTGTATTCAATTTATTGTTGATGGCGGTAATGATTGTTGATGTTATGATGACCGAATCAAAAAATGCTTAAGAAATTAAAGAAAATTAAACAGTTGATTGCAGATGTTGAGAGTAGATAAATTGTTGGAGACTGATTTTTTTTTCTCCGTTCCAATGATCCAATAGGGTAACTCCCTATTTTGGGATGAGGTTCAAAAATCAAAATCAGGAAGCTCATAGCTGCTGCATTGTAAATTGTTATGCATAGACCACTGGCCATCTTGCATTGTGGATTGTGATTCAAAAATTATTTATCTGTAATTGATATATTTTGTACATGTAGTTAACTATTTTTGTATCTTTTAAATAAATTGAAAGCACTTAACATATTAACTATAGACGCATAATTGCTACATTATAAATTGTTATATCATGGACCACTGTCCATCTTGCATTGTGAATCGTGGTTCAAAAATTATTTATTTGTAATTCACATATTTTGTACATGCAGTTAACCATTTTTGTACTTATAAACAAATTGAAAGCATATAACATATTAACTACAAACACATAATTCAAATACAAAAATGGTTAACTGTAGGCATAGAATATGCCAACTGTAAAACATATAATCTGAAAATTATTTTGGACCAGGGTCCACAGTGCAAGGTAGACCCTGGTCCATGGTATAATTTGGCTTGCATTAGAAAGCAATCATTATTTCATAGATCATGATCCACACAACTAGAATAATAAACAACACTCTTATACCAAACTAAAAGTTCAAACAGATAATGATTGTTATTTTATGCTCAACAATCTCAATCCAAATAAACATATTACAATACAATTCAATTCAATGCAAACAAACAATATTGACGCTCATTTGATTTTTAACTAATACAGTATGACTATGTAATTTAAATAAGCATAAATCTCCAGTTATCGCCTGCTCAGAACACCTCGTGGTTTGATAAAAAAATATAAATATTTAGTGAACCCACGAATGTACCTAGATAATTTGGGCTTTTTCTTTTGTTATTTAATAAGCCAAAAAATAATTCCACATGAAACTTGTCCCATGTTCTGGAGAACCAATAGATATTGTGTAGATCACGGTTCAAAAACGACGTAGTTTAAACTCACTGCAACATACATTTTTATAATTTATAATGTACATATTCTAAAGCATAATGTACATTATTCTAACTCATAAAATACATTATCATACCCCAGAAGTTTTATTATTATAAGACACACATAAAGTACACTATTCTAACTCAAAAAGCTCAACGTCATTGTGGATTGTGGTTCACACGGGCCACAACTGTGTGGAACACGGTCCAAAACAACGTCGTGAATATTATAAGTAAAAATAATATACATTATGTTTTAGAATAATGTATATTATGTTTTAAAATAATGTATATTATGTTTTAGAATAATGTATATTATGTTTTAAAATAATGTACATTACATGCTAAAATAATGAAACTCATATGTGGTAATATAATGTACATTATGTTTTAAAATAATGTACATTATACTTTAGAATAATGTACATTATCTTTAAAATAGCGTACATTATGTTTTAAAATCATGTATATTATGAATTATGAATTATAAAAATGTATATTGTAACTGGACGCTCAAAAAAATAAAATAAAGCAAAATAACATTGTGTGGACGACCAATCGTTATACCGTGCAGTCGTGCACCACGGCGCACATATCACTGTGCGCCCCGCGCCTCTCAAAACGACGTCGTTTTGTTAAGTTGTTAAAAAAAATTCTCTATTTCGAATGCACATAAACTCATAACTGAATACACATAAACTCATAACAGGATACATATAATCTAACATAATACATAATACACATAAATTCTTAACATAATACACATAAACTATAACATAATACACATAAACTCATAACATAATACAGACACATAAACTCTTGATAGAATACACATAAACTCTTAACTGATTACACAAACTCATAACACAATACTCATAAACTTTTAACTGAATACACATAATGAGATTTGGTCTGTTCAGACGAACAGAGTAACGTCAACAAGAAATGCGCGCAGTACACAGACGAACAGAGTAACGTCAGCAAGAAATGCGCGCATTTTGTACTGCACACACATTGCTAGTGGTGCACAATATAAATTGCCGTGACCACGATCTATGCAATTACTATTGGACGGATGGGGCTTGGGCCATGTGAGCAAAGACAAGAGTGGGATTTTTGTCCTTTTCAGCTCCATACAAAATGATGTATAACCGATCTACTTTTATGGTGTCTAGTCTAGTGACCACTGACGGGAAACAGTTGGTTTAATGCAATGCAGGATGACAACACAATAGTGAAGCGCAAACCAAATCGCAATTAATTAGCTCATTCATAGTTCCACATTGAAAATATAAAAGACAATATATGAATTTATAAAGTTATAGGTTAAAGTAAATAATTAATTAAGACAATATATGAATTTATAAAATTATAGGTTAAAGTAACTAATTAATTAGATTATGTCTTTTAGTGTAGCTTAGTCATATATATTATAATTCAGTTGAATGACATTGACATCCATACTTTGATTGTCCCCTTAAGATAAAATATTAACTAACTAATTAATTGAAGTCAATCTAGTCACCTTCACCGAATCTTAAATTATAATATGACTTATGAGTTATTATGAGCAGCATACAACAACAGTAACTCTAGATGGAGGGGGACCAAGCTTAAGAATCTCACCATGGGTTTCAGCCGTTTGCACCTAGGAAGGAATGGAATATATATATATATATATATATATATATATATATATATATATATATATATATAACTGCATCACCAAATTCAAGAAAAGCATACGCTAATTAATTAGGAGAATTTCAGCATCAACTCTGCAACTCCAACTAATTCAGAAACAACTTCCTTCAACATCTCTATTGCCAGGAAGAATAATAAGTGCATGCTTTATGTATTTGTGATTAGATCCACATCCAATGGCATAAACTGCCATTTATGGAACTATATCTAATAATCAGTGGGTGTGTTTTGTTCGCACATGGAAATCGGAATGAGAATGAAAATCAAATACTTGATAATGACAAATTATGCTGTGTAACCGTGTTCACCTTGCAAGGTGAACACAGTATTAAAACTGTTCATAATTATGAATATATAGTTCAAAAATTATGAACATATAGTTCTATAATTATGAACATAGAGTTGTGAACATAATTATGAACATATATTTATGTAATTATGAATATAGAGATATAGAGATTCAAAAATTGTGAATATGGAATTTAAAAATTATGAATATATAGCTTTATAATTATGAACATAGAGTTCTGTAATTGTGAATATAGAGTTCAATAATTATGAATATGAAATTAAAAAATTATGAATATATAGCTTTATAATTATGAACATAGAGTTCTGTAATTGTGAATATAGAGTTCAATAATTATGAATATGAAGTTCAAAAATTATGAATATATAGCTTTATAATTATGAACATATAGTTCAGTAATTATGAACAAAGAACCGTGTCCACCTTGCAAGGTGGACACAGTTCCACAGCATAACGATTGCTTGGTAATGGTATGGGTTTTAGTGAAAGTATTTTGCATGCTCGGTAGTATGGTGGAATTAGAATGATTACCAATATTAATGTTTGGTTATGTACGACCCTATAATGCGAATAAAAGCTTTAAAAATACAAAAACAAAAAATCAACACAATTGACATCCAAAGCACTAATATGAATAAAAAATCAAAACAAAAATTTAAAAGCACTAATCCAAACTTAAAAATCAAATTACCAATATAAGATGGAATGACACCCCTTGTTAATTAGGGAATGGGGTTCTTAATTGAATGAGTAATCAAATCCCATAATTGTGTCTTAAAAAGTTGTCAACCAAACAATAGCTATGATTTTGATTCACATTCCTAATAGAGTTCATTACCAAAATGGTCCCTCGACTATTACAAAATTATCAATTTGGCCCTCGATAATTTTTTTCCTACCCAATTAAGTCCTCGACTTTGAAAATGTTAACCATTTTGGTCCTCCGTTAGATCAGGGGTTAAACATCTGTTAAATTAGAGGGCATTGATGGAATTTCGCAAAATATCTACTTTGATGGTCTCTTGTTCCAGAAGTTGGCCATCCTTGCCTTTGTCGTCACTCCTCTGCGCAACGCCAACAACCGCCGCCTGCAATTCCAATCGCATCGCCGTCGTCGTCACCAAAAAAACCAGCATCGTCTAGCCTTAAGCCACAAATCCCTTTTGTCATCGACTCGAGCTTGAGGAGCAGCGACAACCGGAGTCCAATGCACCGGCGTAGACGATTCGGTTGTTTTGTGCCGGAAAAAATTAAATCCGACGAATAGCTCGTTAGGCAGTAGGTAATTTCTATAACAAACTAAAGTCTTGCTTATAGTTGAGAAAAGATTTCAACAGTCCAAGAAATTAATTCTGTGTTTAATGTTTAGTTGAACTCCAGAAGTTCAAAAAAAAAAAAAAAAAAAAACAACCACGATTAATTCTACCCGTATGAAAAATCAATTGGTGGTGGTAGTGACTCTCACTCCCAGGGAAGTGGTGGTACGCGCTTTGCTCGCTTTGCCTGGAAGATTTCGAGGCCAGGGAAGTGGTGACTCTCACTCCCAGCTTAGTAGCAGATTGACGACGAAGCAGCAAGATCCAGAGACCTTGAGTTCTGCTCCGGCGACTACATCAGTGAACTCCAGTAGCGGTGATGGTCTCCAGTGTTGCAGTAGCAGATCGGCCAGATCCAACGAGGCTCAGCAGCTCTTCTTGGCTTCTTGAGGCAGAACCAACGGCGATGGCAGCAGCTGATCGTCTCCCCACATCATCAACCACCAAGCATGAAGAATAAGGATTCTCTACTCCCTTGAGATCTCCTATGCAGAACACTGAGTGAGAATCTTTGAGATCTCCTATGGAAAAATGGAAAAGGAAAAACAGAGAAATGAAGTAAACGCCCCCTAAGGTTTCTGCAACTATGTAACAGTGGTGAATCAAAGGATGTTGTCTAGTTTGAACAATTGAAAAGAAGAAGGGAGTTGGGCTCAAAGGGGGAAAGGAATCCGGCGGGTAAGTGATCGGGAGATAAACTGGGAAGAAGTGGAGCAAGAAGAGTGGGAAAGAGTTAAGAGCTTGGAATTGTAATCAATGGCGAAAACCTGGAAAAGCCCGATTGTTGTTGTTATGTAAAGAGTGTTGGATTTGCAGAGGAGTAGCTTGTTCAAGAAAGATGAGTGTGTTGAGTTGAGAGGATGAGGCTCAAGAAAGGGTGCTTGGATTCTTGTTTTTCCACAGTAACTCACCACTGGATCTCCCCATCTTTCGGAACTGAACCTTTTTCACTTCCTAAACTGTAATCAAACTCTCTCATCCTCAACTTCTTGAGCTTTGATGAGTGAAGAATGGAAGACAAGAACCAAGCAGAGAAAAGCAAGGATGATGGGACTGTTCATCTTCATTCAGGAAATGAAAATGGTGGAGCTTAAGATGGGCTGATAAACATAATTCACATTTGTTTTAATATGGTATGGACTATGGAGTATTTCATTTTAATAAAAGCTTTAATAAATAAAATATGTAAAATTACCTTTTCGTCCTTAAATCTAACAGCTTATGGATGGAATTTTAACGGAGGACTAAAATGGTTAACATTTTCAAAGTCAAGGACTTAATTGGGTAAAAAATATTGTCGAGGACCAAATTGGTAATTTCACAATAGGCGAGGGACCATTTCGGTAATAAACTCTTCCTAGTATGTAAACCCATGAACCAAACACACCCGGTGTGTATTCCTGAAGCCTGATGTGAAATACTAATACCTGCCAGGGTATGGATCATCATTTCATTTCATTTTTAATAAGCAAATACCAAACCCTTCATTAGTAGACTGCAGTCATTAAATACCAAGTTTAAATAATAATAATAGCCTATAAAAATAGGAGTGAAGTAAATTCAGAGACAAATTGTTTTCAGAGATGGGAAGCTTGACATTGTTTTTGTTAAATGGCATTCTGGTTAGTAAAACCTTTCCTCCAAAATAAAGAAAAAGGTCATATGTACAACTTTTGAAAGGTCATATGTACAACTTCCAAAAGGTCTGGACAGGAGACATCATGTCTATTTATTGAAATGAATTTACAGGTGAAATGGGTTTGATCCCCAATCAGGTAAGTTGATTAAGAACTACATGAAATGGATATGTACAAGGAAATAGTTTCTGAGCAGAGGATGTGCACCTTACAGTCTCTTGCTTGCTTTCATTTTTTTTTTTTTTTTGGGGCAATATTCATTCACTGATGTCGAAGTACTTTGGATCAGATGGATACTGATATTCCACATGTAACTGCAATGCAATGCCAAAATAAGACATCCAACTAAGGTGCATAATAAAGGGCATATGATTTCCACATAATTTGCTACCTTATCCATAATCCATCAAAATGCAATCCAGATGATTAGTTTTTTTTATGGATTAACAGATCTTTTATTTGGGTTTGTCTCATCTAGCTAGGCCTCTGCTTCTTTTCTAGAAAGTTTCTTTAATGAAAATGGATATATAAACGATAATCAAAATGAAATTTTGAATTTTGTACCAAAACAATTGAGAATGAAAGAACATAACGCAGTATTTCTAAAAATAAGTGCATTGAGCCATTGATTAGTTTGATTTTACCATGAATATAATAGAGTTTCATGCATTATTTCTAGTGCAAGGATGAACTAATCAATACAAGATTAAATCCGTAGTATTAGTGAATTTCAGATCTGATCTAGTTCCTAAATAGAGGTTGAAGAATAGAAGCAAATAATTAGAAACTCATTTTGCTCTTGTTAACAGCCTATACAAACTGCAAAGCTGATCAAGGCATTCATCCTAACTCATGACTCATGAGTGCATTTAACGGCAAAAACTCCTATTACTAATCCTTGTACACATGCATATTTACAAATGCTTCAATCAAAAGCAATATTGATAAGACAATGCAAAACGTTATGATACATACCTTGCCTTCATCAGCATCTGAATGACGTTGAGGAAACACGACTCTCATGTCATTGTACAAGTAGAAGCGTCGCTCCCCTTCGATATCCATGCCATTTTTTGTGGGTACAGATGAAGGGTCAGATTTGCACCTCAGAACTGTTTTTGAGTTTCTCTTAGAGTAAGGGCACAAAAACCGGATATGGAGAGCATAGCGCAGAACACCTGTACCAGCTGCATTCTCATTTATCTTTGAAGGGCAATCTACAGATTTGCTGCCAGTTCCACCAAAAGGCCAACCAATGCCCTCTACAACACCGCTACTACAGTCATTTGATTTCCTACAATCTGAAAGTACCTCACTAGATTGCAAAGAATCCTCAGCCTTTGTAACTGGAGGTTGCCTTCCATCACTTTTCCCCTTAGCATCCTTATGGCCGCCTTTGTCCGTGTCCAAAGTTATCTTTTGCCGCAGAAATGTCTATAAATAAAATAGATTTCACAGAGAGACATTCCTTATTAGATGACACACAACATAAATGTGCATTCAGACTTATGAATAGTAGTAACATCCAGAAATCAAAAGTAGACAGTAGACTGAAAAAACTGAACTATGGCCTTCAACAGCTGGATATACAACAAGGATTCAACAGTTAGAAAAATTTGCATCTTTTTAGTTTATATGCATAATGGGCATCCTTATGCTTAAACTATTTTAGTAAGCTTGCAATGAACTACTCTGTATGTCTGGCAACCTTGAATAGGCTTAAATGCTTAATCATAGATAGCATGCACTAAGTACTACTCCATACTTTCCAATTGGAAAAATCATGGCCAACATAAAGACTAGTTAGTACCAACTCAAATAGTTAAATGCCCAACAATTAAGCCAAGAAAGTGAAATTTTACCCCAAATGGGAAAAGGGAAAAAAAAAAAAAAGAATAATTAGAGTAACACAGCAAATGCTGAAATGCATGATACTGGCTTGCCAAATTAAAATGAATGAATTGAGTAATATAGGTGAAATATCTAAATTAATTAGTGTGGTCACTTTTTGATAACTGATTTATTCAATAACACCAGCTCATTCAATCTGATTGTCAGAAGTTCTCATCCTAAAGAAGTATGTTCACTCATAATGAAACTTGTGTAGAGCTTTAGTTCATCTTGCAAACACAAAATGTTTTTATTTAGTTAGTCAATCAACCCACGTAGGCATTAATCTCAAATCTTATTGGAAGTTAGCTACATCAATTCCATTTATCCCATGTAATAATTTTAATAAGTGTTAGTCCATCATAAACCCTTGAGTTAGCATATGTTTCTTTGCAATTAAAATCCATGAAAGTTACATTAGACCTCTTCCTGCCCTCTCCTGTTACCACACGATAAAACTCTTCCTAAATAAAGCCCCATCACCCAAAATTTGACATGCCCAAATCAGATTCACAGAATCCCTCTTAATTTTTCCTCAATAAGGGCACTTTTCCTTTTTTCAAAGTCATTTTTAACATGATCCTTCATTGTATTGCCTCCATTGTTATCACAGTCATCTTGTAAAGAGATACTTCACCATTCAACACTTTCTGCAACAATGTATTGTTGTCCCAGTCATTACTTCATGACCTCATCTGATCAATCCCTTTCCAGTGTCCTTGGAAGGCTGAAGAAATTGAATATATCCACCAATTTATGCATCAAAACTGTATAGAAAGAATGTGAAATTTGTTGAAAACTAAAGAGTTAGGTTTATCTATAGGGTTGTGTCTGTTTATGAATAGGTGTCAGTTATGGGTAGTTATGGGTAGTTACTTACAGTTATGTATTTGTGTATATATATGTACTGTGTTTCTGTATTAGAAACAGAGAGAATACCAATATAATTTCAGTTTTATATTCATTTCCTAGTCTTGATTCTTCATATTGCTTCCGCCTAACTGGCGGGTGGTATTATTCTCCACCCGCCAGGCCATTCCATCTTCCAAATTCAACATGGTATCAGAGCCTACTTTCCTAGGGTATTTCAAACATCAAAATTGTATTTTTCCTTGTGATGTATTCTCCGGTGAAAATTCCAGATTGTTGTTTTGCCCTTGGACCTTTTGGTGAAGTTTGAAGGCTTTTTGGGTTGGTTGCCAAACCTCTTTCCGGGGTGTTTTTGGTATAACCGTATTTGTTTCTTTATATTCGGTATACCATACTTAGTCCCTAGGGTTTTCATGTTTGGCACCTTGTTTATTTCCGGAAGCTTCTTTTGTTATTCACTTATCCTATAAGAGGTATAAACAACAATCATGTGGTTTTCTCGGTATTCATACAACAATCTATGGGCTCTACTACATCCCCTTTGCTGCTCATGATTTGGTTGCTCTGCCGTTCTTGATGGAGATTGTTGATTGGCAAATCCTAGAATGCTTATGTTGCTGTGAGGGTGTTCGTGTTAATCTTCGCCCTTGGTGACTTCATTCCCAAGGTTATTTGTGACAAGCTTCGCCCTGGTGCCTTCATTCCCAAGGGTTGTTTATAGCATTGTTCCTCCGAAGCCATCCAACACTGTTATTCTCTAGCTGCTTTTAATCTTCATTTGTAATGTAGAGTGTATGTTTTAATCCAAGCTTGGAACTTCTAGATGTTCCAGCTTGAGGGGGAGTGTTGAAAACTAAAGAGTTAGGTTTATCTATAGGGTTGTGTCTGTTTATGAATAGGTGTCAGTTATGGGTAGTTATGGGTAGTTACTTACAGTTATGTATTTGTGTATATATATGTACTGTGTTTCTGTATTAGAAACAGAGAGAATACCAATATAATTTCAGTTTTATATTCATTTCCTAGTCTTGATTCTTCATATTGCTTCCGCCTAACTGGCGGGTGGTATTATTCTCCACCCGCCAGGCCATTCCATCTTCCAAATTCAACAAAATTATCCATGTAGTCATTGAGTCTGTCTTGGATGATTTTTGTCATGTTTAGGGTAACCTGCTAATCATGTACAGGGAAGAGAAGTCCGCCAACAATGCAAACATTTTCAACAAGTTACATGCAAAGGGAAGAGGGAAAGGGGGAGGGGAGACCAGTTGATGACTAGACGCATTGTATCAAGACCAAACTAGAATACATTTTGACCTACCTTGGTCCCAGCAGGCATGTCAGTCAAATCATAGTTACAGAAAAATGTATGAATGGGAGTCCTTTCTGGATTGCTGAGAACCTGTCAAATATTTCAGTTATTAATGTAAAACTCATCTTCAACGCAAAAACAGAGCAAAATTATTTAGTAAAAAACAAATAAAAAATAAAAATAAAAATCAATGAATGAAATGCATAGAAGTATAAGACAGGTAAATGTTTAGCGCAGCTGCAGGGCAATCAAAGATCAACTACTGCCAAAAGTTAAAATTATGTTTCTGCACTCTACTTCAGCATGTTTAGGAACAGTCTTCATGCTCTCCAGTTACATTCTCTTAACATATTAAAGACAGTAGAAAAATTATTACAAACTGAAAAATAAATAAATAACAATAACACTATAAGATGAGTGAATTAGTGCCACTTTTGGCCCCTCAAGTATAGTGACATTTCCACTTTTACGCCTTGTTTGGCAACCAATGGTTAGCAGATTGGTTAGCGTAGCGGATTGTATGGGTTTGTAAAAAGATGTTTGGTAAAATTAGTTGTTTGCTATTAGCAGTTAATATGTAAAAAAAGGACCTATAAGGGCATTGCTACAACTACAACTACAACAACAACAATAATAATAAGATTTTAAAAAAAAAAAATCTTAAAAAATAAAAACAATACAAAGGGGAGCTTGAGCGTACAGGCTCCCCTTTGTAATTTTGTTCCCACATCGGTGGGAAATGAAATGAGGGGCATAAGAGGAGCTTCAATGGCCCCCATTGTGTTACTTCCCATCCAATGTTGTCCCACATCGGATGGTAAGTTAAACGGTGCCTCAAGTCTCCTCAATAAATGAGACTTGAGGCCAAAACAATCAGTTTAATTTTTGGGGAAAGAGCTCTCTTTCCCCAAAATGCCAAATCCAAATGCTGCTAAAAGCAGCGTTTGGGGTTTCAGCAGTTTGGAGAAAAACCGCTACTCCAAACCACTGATTACCAAACACCAATATGGCCAAATCTGCCAAATTTTGGCAGAACCGCCATTTACCAAGCAAGGCCTTAGTCTTCAACTATCAATTTGACAAAATTTTGCCCCTTGACTTTTTCAAATCAACCAAATTTAGTCCAAAACAACCAAATGCCCTTACTTTGTGGATATTCCATCATCACCCTTCTGCATTTGAGGATGTTTAAGACATTTTGGATTGAATTTTGTTGATTAAAAAATGTCAAGGTACTACATTTGGTCAAATTGATACTCAAATACTAAAAATAGAAACGCCACTACAGTTTATGGAACAAAAGAAAAATTAACTTAGGATCAGACTTTGATTCAATCTCCAAATTCATATTTCAAATTGCGAGTATAAATTATAATCATAGAGAGGTTATTTAAAAGGTTTGTTACACTTTTTAAATAGAGAGGTTGAAGAGAAGCAAAAATTACTTTCAAAATTATCATTCCCAAATCCCAAGTTATTAAAAAAAGTGGAACCAAGAAGACGAGAGTAAACACTTAAAATAATCTTCATTTTAATGTTTGTGCTCTAGTGTCCAACCTATTTAACTGCAGAAGTGAAATAACTCATTGATGCAAAAACTTTCATCATCAAATTAACACTTAGATTCTAAGAAACTTGAAATCAAAATAAGTGTTTGGCCAAGATCTTCTAGTTACATCATATATTACTTTTTACAAGCATATTGCGAATAATCCAACCGGCTTATTTGTTGGATACTCTCTCCTGCACATTTTATATGTTACATCTCATTTTATAAACAGCACCATTCCTTCCCTAACCACTCACCCACAGCCCTAACCAAAAAGACTTCATGTGCTGCTATCATGAATTTGAAACCATTGGCAGTTCATGCGAATGGAAAGGATGAGACACCAGTATTTAATAAGAATATAAGATCTTCGAACTCAGGAGTGGACACATTTAAGTATCAACCTATAAGTACAAAGGGTCACCAATGTGTCAGACCATACTCAACAAAAGAAACAAAAAAAAAAAAAAAACAAAAAACAAAAAACAAAACAAAACAAAAAAACAAAAAAACAAAAAAAAACAAAAACAAAAACAAAAAAACAAAATACTGGCAAGACAAAAAATCTTGCTATCATATCTTCTAGTTTCCTTTGCATCTAAAGTGTCTTAATGTCTGGCTTGTCTAATTTATGCTTCTACCAGTAAGTTACTTTACATTATTATTTCCATTAAATAAGATTAGTCTTATTCTACTTTCAAAGAGTTAGTATCAAAGGATGGACAGAGGGATAGAGTACCAGTTGGATACGCCCTTTCATAGGTATACGCAGCCGACCATTTGTCTGGGAGTCATTAATGCTAAGGCTTCTCTTCATTTTAGAGCCTTTACACTCATTAGTTAAGAAATGTCCTCCAAGATCTATGGATGAGTAATACACCAAACAGTTGCCACCATCCACACTCGTTACTGCAAATGGAAGTTTCTTTGGATGTGGAGAGAAATTCCCTCCAGAAATACTAAGGACAGCAAGAAAACCTTCAATTTTCTGCAGGATTAAATTTAAAGATTTATAAGCACCTTGACAATAAGCTCTTTATCCTGTGAAAAGAGAGAATATATTGTGTAAATACTAAACCTAAGAAACTAAGCACCACAATTATTAAGGCAACCACCTGGCTAACAGTTCCTGATGCCAAACGACCGGAAAATAGTGACTCCTCGAATGAGCCAACTAATGACCTTCTTACTGTAAGTCCACTGAGGGATCTACCTAATCTTGTACGCAGACTTGTTTGGATTGAATTCTGTGCCCATTGTCCTCTCACTTCATTCACACTGTCGAGAGTGAATTGTTCAAAGTTCATAGGAAAATCTTCAACATCTAAGTTAGATTTGATTTCCATTCTGGAATCATCTTCTTTTTCAGAGGACAAAACATCTAATAGATTCCCATCAAGTGACCGTTTGACATCATATTCCTCCCAATCATCCCTATGCCATTTAGAATCTCTTATCCTCCTACAACAATTAGGCCCAAGAGGAGAGAGAGAAAGTGGTGGAGAGTATGCATTTCTATCCACTATGTCTATCCCTCCATTTTGGAAAAGCATTTCAGTTACTTTTCCATGAAAGTTTAGCTCAGAGGAAGTAGGGGTAAAAAGACTCCGAGAGAGAGTCTCCTCGTCCTCAAACAAGGGGCCATCTGTAATAATGAAGGAGTTCATCTTAAAATTTTCATCTGGAGAACAGCTCTTTACCGAGGCATATTGAGTGGACCAAGCTTCAAAATTGCTTGAGCTTCTTATATTTGCTTTCTTGTGTTCTTGTGAGGAAATGTTATGGGTGCCATTCCTTAAATAGGAAGTACTCCTAAAACTAGTGCTACCACCAATATCTAAATATTCACCAGAAAATTGATCAGAAAGAACCGTGCCATTCAAAGGTGACAATAACCGTTTCCTAACCACAGAGCCACTGGTCTCTGGTGTCTTGTCAGTAATGCTAATTGCAGCAGATGGATGAATACCATCCAAAGGGTTTTGTTCGAACAAATTGGCTGGCCTATTAGATGCTTTTGACTCAAAACCCACAATCCTTGAAGCAGGATTATGAGCTTCCCTTCCAACATTGCAAGCAAAGAAGCCACTCTTTTCAGAAGAATCAATTCTCAATTTATGCATGCTGGTTATACCATCTTTATGAATACTGAGAATATCTGGGTCCTTCAAGACATCCCTCGATGAAGTGCAAGCAAAATCTGTGGTTGTTCTACTGCTTACTTGACCAATGTGCACCCCAGTCATATCACAGTTGCTTGCAGCTACAAACCTAGCTGGAGTTTGTGCAAATGTGCTCAAGGATGTAGCAACTTCCTCAGCATAATTATTAGTTGCTACTTGAGGCACACCCATGTCTGCACTAGATTTTTCCTCAAATTATTTTCCTAAGAACCTTACCCTATCCACTAGAATAGCTACTCTTTAGCACTTATCTTATAATATTTTCATTGTCCCATGTAAAATCTGAGTTGCTCCAACCTATCACTAACAGAAATGAAGGATCCAACTAGCTACAGCTCAATCTGCATCAACTAGAGGCGCTCATACAGAAGTGTAATATGCCTAACTGGCCTTCATTTCTATCAGTATTTCGCACCAGTATCTACCTGCAAAATGTGTCACAGTTTGAAAATCAGATTCAATAGACAATCAACCAGCAAGATTATAATACATTGTGAAATCAAGTAAACAGTTTTAAAACCTCTGCCTTTGTAACAAGAAATCATAAATCATTCCACAAGATGAAGTGAAATCCTGAAAAGATTGTCAAAATCAAAGTCATCTCTTTGTTGACTGATACTGATCATTAATGAAGAAATTATTGGAAGTGCAACACCCAATTAGACCAAATATCACTCCTCAGTCATATGAGAAGACAATCCAAAGTTTTTGAAGATTACAGAACACCCAAAAAAAAAAAAAAAACCAAGGTATTAAAAAAATAGAGAGTTTGTGCAAGATCACATTTGGAAATTTCAGTTTCCCCCAGTCAGTCCTTTCAGAAAAAATCGAAATCCTTGGCTATGAAACAAATCGTCTTAACCTTAACCAAGAGCTCCTCCATAAAGGATCAATACCCAAAAAAACAAACAAAAATTTTAGAAATTTTAAAATTAAAATTAAAATTAAAAAACCCTTCGGTGTCAAAAGATTCGCAATTTCTAACAATCATCACCAGTAAATAACCGATGAGACAAATCAAAAGCTCTAGATTTCATCTATTTTTACAATTACAAGTAAAGAGGTGAGAATTCTTTAAGAAATGAGAAAAAAAGAACACAATGTTCTATCCAAATTGATGCCGTAAATCGATACCAGTAAATCTTCTCCGGATCAACATCTTCTACAACAACAGTCTACGGCAAATTGAAGCAATAATAACAATTATCAGATGCATATATATGTATATAATATATGCACAGAAACAGAAATTTCTACGGACTACGAAAAGAAAATATAAATAAATTACGGAGTATATTATCAATCAAATATTTCCTCTATCTCTCTTCTATGGTTATTTGTTTATCTTTTGGGGTTTAATAATATTTTTGCAGAAAGGAGGATATGGATTGGGTATGGTGCCACGATGGTACCAGAACAATACGCCACCCCGCGTGTTTTTTTTTTTTTTTTCCTTTTTATTGCTGCGCTCCTTGTTTTTCTTTTTCTATTTTCATGTTTTTTTTTTTTGAGAAATTTTTCTATTTTCATATTTCAACTTGATTTCACTCAACTTAAATTATTAATTGTGTTGTAAATAATAATACATGAATATTACTAGAGGAATTATATTATGATAATATCTCTTCATCATTGATAATTTTATAATAATATTAAAATTCTGTATATCTTGTATATATTAAATTGAAGAAAATTTACATCACTTCCTAACCTAATATTCTCTGTGCAAGGATTTTCCCCCATCCTCCATTGATCGGCCGCCGCCTACGCTCGTTTCGCGGAGGTGGCGCCGGTCTCCTCCTAATGCCCGGAAATGATCTTCATCAAAAATACAGTCAGCGTACCTCGCAGTAAACTGATCTCCTGTCATGGGCTCTAGGTATTTAATGATGGAGGGATTCATAACCAACATATATACGTAGTTTTCGCTACGGGCCCATGAAGGTACGGTCTGTAGGTGGTATGGGGGTATAGAATGCACATTCAAATACATGCAGATGGGAAATGTTAGGTTCTGCACCACGTAGTAGTTGCAAGGGGAAAAAAATCATGATATGCAGTGGGTCAGATTTGTATTAAAGTTGCAGCATGTAATACTGCATGTCCCCAACATGAAATCAGTAAACCAGACTTCTGTAATAATGGTCTAGCGATTAATTTAATACGCTTAATCTGAGATTCAGCCAGACCATTCTGAGTATGGACATAAGGTACATGATGTTCCACTGTGACACCCCAGAAATTCACTCTTTAAACCCGAATTAATTTCTTAATTAATTCTTTCTTGCTTTACAATTTCTTTCTTGATTTCCCTTTGGAATTAGTTAAGGGACCTAGTTTGACCAATTCCTTAGTCTTTTAATTTGGTCATTAGGTGGACCTTGTGCTTTATTTATTGTACTCTAGACTTTAAGTTCCTTCTAGTCTTTATGTGGAAAGAAGGGCCCTTTTGGTCTTTTCACAAATTTCTAACTTTAACCCTACCCTAACCTAGACACCCCAAGTCATTTTCAGGATTTCTCCTTCTCTCTACACCCTCATTTCTTACTCTACAATCCTCCTTCTCTCCAAGAAAACTCCTAGAGTTCATCTTCACATTTCTTCCAGAAATGCAAGCCAAGATTCCAACTTTCTAGTACTCCAAGACAAGAAGTGGTAAGATCTATCTTCCTACACCTTTTCCATACAAGATTCCTTCATCTTTCCCTAAATCTTTCTTTTATCGTGTTGGGTTTTGGGAGTTTGTAAAAGATCTAGCGGTGGGTGAGTTGCTAGGTTGATCTAAAGGAGTTTTTGGTCTTGCTTTGAGGTTGAAGAAGGTGTTCTTAGGCTACAAGAGGTAACCCATGCTTTACAAAACCTATTTTGAACTTGCTATGATGATTCTTGATATTCTCTTTGATGTTCTTGATGTTCTTGTGATATTTGATGCATAATCTTGTGTTTATGCATGTTAGAGCTTGTATCTAGGGTTCTTAAATGCTATCTTTTGAGATATTCATGTGTTCAAGTCATTTTCTTGTTGAATGTGAGGTTTTGGGTGTTTTGGACTTGGACTTGAAATTGTTAATTTTTTCCCCGAAGGTAAATTTGTGGGTATAGGGTTGCACCCACGGGCGGAACAACGGGTGGCTGTCCACCCGCCGTTCCACCCGCGGGTGGAAGGTGATGGACCAGCGGGCAGGGCCGCGGGTGGAGGCCCACCCATGGTTCCACTCGCTGGTACGTGTAAAAGGCGGTCGATGGGTGGTTGTCCACCCACCGTTCCGTCCACTGGTAAGTCGTTCTTTGACCTCCACTTTGTTGAATCCTTACGCAATTGTGTGTCTCCTTTGATGTTTCGTAAGTCTAGAACGTTGTCCTAAGTATCCGTGATAGGATTATGATTCTTGAATCATGCTTATGGTCCAACCTTGTGATTCGTTGGATTAATGTGAAGTCGTTGATGTTCGATTGAACCATTATGTTTATCCTTTTGATGTACATCTTTGGATTAAAGTCTATCATGGTAATCTTTGGATTAAAGTCTATTGTTGTTATATCGTTATATTGATTGTTGATTCATGTCTTTCATTGAAATCTATCGATTGAATCCCTTGATATGATCTTATACAAATGGTGTACCTTATCATGATTATTCCTTGATTAAGCTATTGTTGAGCTTATCTCTTGATGTACACACTTCGTGTGGAATCTATGCTTTGTTGTATCTCTAGATTCCGTGTGTATTGACTCTTGTTGAGATGTGGAATTGTTGTGATGGATTGGATAAGGTGGAACAGTGGACAGTGTGGGGACTTATGTGATATTGATATGTGTGGCGAGCCTCTGGCTCTGTTTGCAATGGGTCATGTTGGTGTGGGAAGCCCTTGACAGGTCGGTGGTGTGGAAAGCCCCGATCAACCATTGTGAACTGATCCGGTAGTGAGGAAAGCTCCGGGTTGCTGTTTGGATATTTATTGATTTGTGGGCAACTTGGGAAACTTATTCAAGTTGCTAGAGAAGGTAACTAACCCGTTGGGCTTGGAATCCCAATAGGGGTGTATACACTTAAAGTTGCTAGATCTGTTTCCATTGGGCTGCAGTCCGAGCCGTTGCGATGACTCTATGGTATGTGATTGATGATTTGGAGCCCTCCACACTGATCCACTATGATTCGGGTCGTTGCGATGACTCCACGATGAATAACTTGGTTTGGCTATGTCCTGCGTGGACTTGGAACGTATCATTGAATGTGATCCTTGACTTTCTATTGCTTATGAGCATGATTAATGTTATTCCTTGATTGATTATCGTATGATGTATCTTGTTGATGAGTATGTTGATTATGTCATTCTTATCGATCTGTCGAGTAATCGTTTGTTGTGGGTCTTTGATTGAGAGTGATTCCATGATGAGTCTTGTGATGTCTCTATTCCTCGTTTTAAAGACTATATATATGTACTTCCAGTCTCAAATGGTTTTTATTATATCTATATTATATGGTACTCAACGCGTATTGGTGGGTTACCAGCTTTATTCGTTGAAGGGTGTTATCCAGGTGTTGAATAGATCCAGGAGAGTGCGTTAGTGGAAGAGTTAGATAGCATAGCCCATCCTTGGTAGTTTTAGACTTGTGGCCTGTGAGCCTAGTTTATGATTCGATAACTGTTGTTTTGGATTTGACCTTAGATTCTAGCATGTGCATCTATAGTTAGATAGATGTGGCATAACATCTCCTGGTTTGTTTAGTTAGTTTCCGCTTTACTTAATCTTAATGTTTAGACTTTATCTCTTTTTCTAAGCTTTAAATGGCTTAAATTATGCTTAAAATCAGGGGCGTTACATCCACTTTGATGCCCAAGGCCATACAATAATCATTGAAAGCCGTCGACGTGAATTCTCCAGCATTATCCATTCTTATTGATTTAATAAGATAATCCAGGAATTGTGCATTCAACTCAATAATTTTCGCAACAAATTTAGCGAAAGCTTTGTTCCTCGTGGACAGTAGACTAACATGAGTCCAATAGGTGGAAGCATCAATTAGGACCATAAAATATCTAAATGGTCCAGAAGATGGACTAATTGGTCTACAAGTGTCGCCCTGCAATCTCTGCAGAAATATAGGCGATTCATGTCCAACCTTAGTACGCAACGTGCGTACAATATATTTACCTTTCGCACAAGCAACAAGTGTTATATTCTGCCAAGGATGACCCAGATGGGCATGCCACAATTGAAAAGAATGTGGATTTTTGAGTTTCATGATTAGTGCAACACATGAATTATTGGGTTGTATGTAGGTATAATATAACCCAGAAGATAAGGAGGCAAGTTCCTCAACCTCCTGTTTTTTACCAGTGATTAACTAAGTCATGATTAAGAACTCCTCATTGTTCTTAGTCTTGGTTCAATATGGAAACCATTTGATCGAATATCCTTGAAACTCAGCAAGGTTCGCTTAGATTGAGGGTACAACAAAGCATTTTCAATTTGTAGCTTTGTACTCTTAGGGAGGATGATGGATGCTCTTTCGAAGCCCACTATTTGTACATCATCATTAGAAATGGTAGTAATATTACTACTTGATTTGTTCAAGGTAAGGAAAACCTCATATCCGTAAGGATAGTATGTGTGGTTGCACTATCCACCAATCACAATGTTGGTTCATGCTCCATTGTGCGGACAACAATTTTGCAATGTTATAAGATCTGATACGTAAAAACCAAAAGGAAAAGATCAAATAAGTGATAAGGAATAACTCTTTTCGTAAAAAATAAAATAAATTCCTTCTAGGAAGTAAAACTCAAGAAGTAAAGAAATTCCTTATGGGAAGTTTGGTGCCCTTGGAAGGTAAAGGGCCCTCAGAAGGTGAAGATCCTTCGAAAGGTAAAAAAAAAAAAAACTTCGAAAGGTAAGATGCCTTCGGAAAGTAAGCAAATCAAAAGGTACCCTCGGAAGGTAACCTACATTAGCCTCGGAAGTTTACTAACTTTTACCTTCGGGGTTACTTCGTTGTTCATTACTAACTAACCATTGTCTTGGCACAAAAACAGCATGGACATTAAGTCATAAAACGATATGAAAACACAGGTTCATAAACCAAAAACATAAAACAGATCATTCTTAATCACCAAACTCTTCGAGCTCATATTTTAAAAGGTGATCATCATCATCATTCATCACTGCATTTGCTTCAGGAAAATCAGTATTAGTGTGATGAGATTCCTTTCTTGACGGTTGCTTATCATTTTTCCTGTGCATCATTTTGTAAGCTTCAACGAGATGCTTTGGTGTGCAACACGTACGAGACCAATGTCCCGTACACCCACACCGATAACAGGTTTGTGATCTTGATGAACCTTAATCACTCTGTTTCTTATCTTGGACCCAGGAGTCATTGTTTCCTTTGCCTCTACCACTTCAATTCTTTCGACCGTGACCTCTACCACGACCCTTTCCTCGGCCCCTTCTAGAATTGCTTCCCTGGGCAATATGATGTGCTTCAGGCACAGGGGAAGACCCCGCCGGTCGTGCATTATGATTTTTCATCAACAACTGGTTGTGCTTCTCGGCCACAAGAAGTGCAGATATTAGATCAGAATGCTTTTCATAATTCTTTGCCCTATACTGATGCTGGAGTACAAGGTTACTCACATGAAAAGTAGACAGGGTCTTTTCAATCAAGTTTTTCTTTGAAACTTCTTGTTTGCAGAGCTTTAGTTGCGAGACTATTTTATGAAGGGCCGAGTTGTAGTCAATAAGTGATTTATAGTCCTGAAACCTCAGGTGAAGCCAATCAAATTGGGCTTAAGGGAGTACAATTGATGACTGCTGGTCAAAACAGTCCTTCAGGGACTTTTATAATGCAAAAAGGGTCTTTTTCAGTCAAGTATTCATTTTCCAGATTGTGGTTCAAGTGGTGATGTAAGAAAATTAGAGCCTGCGCCTTCTGGGTGTCAGTACACTGTGACTTGGCAACAGTGGTTTGACTTAGTTCTTTAGACGCGAGATGAATCTCGATGTCTAGAGCCTAAGTCAAATAGTTGTTTCCGTCAAGTGCAAGCTCATTAAATTCCCTTTTGGTGATAGAAGACATAATCTACAAAACATATATCATATGTTCTCATATACATTCATAACATCGCCGATAGCAAAATAAGGAATTCGACATCTTCTAGATGCAAATCAAACTTTCAGAGATGAAGTCGAAATGTAAAGTCTGAAAGGACAAGTTAACCTTTCGGACACACATAAGAAAACATAAAAATGACCTTTCGAGTATTCAACCTTTTGGCAAAAAAAAAAACAAAAAACAAAATAACCTTTTGAATAACATGCTAATATTGCAACAATAAATTACAAAATAGCCATAATCAACGTAATTTAGCAACATCTATGCAATTTCATTTGGATGTTCTTATGTGCAGCATATATTATCTGCATACATTAAATCATCAAAATTCATGCGTACAAAGCAAAAAAAATGAATTTTTAATAAGAATGAATAAGAAAAGTAAATTCTTAGAGATAAAAAAAATAATAATAAAAGACAATACGTATAGTAATCTATTCTTTATTATACAATGTGCAATCAAGAGGGACCAGGCAAGAATTTTTTTTTTTTTTTAATATATGAACTGTGCACACAATACATCCACACACAGAAGCAAAATCACAATTTTTCGCAAAAACAAAATAAATTAGAAATCCATATTCAATAATTTACAACATATATACAAACCATACGTACATATGTAATATCATTCTTATCTAGACAATATAATATAATATATTAGGAAGACAACCGAGCATACCGTTTACCGGGGAGTATGTTGGCGATTCTTGCTAATAACGTCTTGTAATTTGGCCCATCAACTCATTAGTTCTCGCGTGATGTTTGCACGGTAATTGCCCAGATATATGCGTGTGTAGAGTAAAAGAACTAGAGATGAAGAACACAAGATATAGAGATCAACAATGTATCTCCATTTCATTAGCCTTCACTCACTTATATAATACTCCGTACAACCTTTCATATAAACAACATATATAATGGATTAAGGCTAAAGCAAATGAAAGGTCTCATGATTTAATGGCCATCAATATAAAATATTTATAACACTAGAGAATTAAATTTGAAACAAAATTGATAGTTCAGGGGACTAATTATGAATGAATTGAAAATTAAAGATAAACATTTTAAATTCTCAATAGTCGAGTAAATGCTTCTGAAATTAACTCTGAACTAAATGGTGCAAAATTTAATATAAATAACATTACTCACTTTAAAAATATAAGAATGTGAATTGATTTATCAACATTCCACTTAGCATTTTAATGAAAGCTTCTACAAATTTTATGAGCTCATAAATAATTGCTTTTTAATCCAACAAGAAAGAAATTGTTTTAATAGCAATTTTAGAGTAAAGGTAAAAAAAAGATAAAGTTTTATGAGTAATAATTAAGAAATGAATTAATTACCAAAATGGTCCCTTGACTATGACGAAATTACCAATTTGGTCTTCGATTATTTTTTTACCTGATGAAGTCCTAAACTTTGTAAATGTTAACCAATATGGTCCTCTATTAGGTTTGGAGTCTAACGTCTGTTAAAGTCGAGGGTAATAAAGGAATTTCAAGTTGCTCCTCAGGTAGCCTGTGCTGCCCACGTATTAACTTAATTCCCAATTTCTAATAGCCCTAATTCTAAATTCCCAAATCTGATGCGAGAGTCAACCGAGACCCTAACAGAGTCTTGATCGTGGCGATTCACCAAAGAACTCAATGGTTATGGAGAAAACCCGGCCATCTTGAACTGCGACTTCCACTTCCCCGAAAGTTCATGCCTCTCCACCCTTTCTGTTCCCTCGCATGCTATTATGTTGACAACATCTCTTGCCAAGAAATGTTGCTCGACATTTATGCGTTGTTTGTGCTCCCAGGGAAGATTGACATCTATTGACTCAAACATTTCAATGTAGTAGTCTAAGGTTTCATGGATGCAGCGTGGAATTCGAATGGCACGTTGAAGGACTCAGCGAGCTTAGATAGCTTCTTCCCCACGATGTTCAGTCCTCCCCTGCGTGCATAAGTTGAAGTGGAGTTATTCAAATATGGGGTGACCCTCCTGGCCTACCAGCAAAAGCTTGTATTAGAGTCACCCACTGGCTGCCTTGACGACCAATCTGGAAATCAATTATATGAACTCTATTTTCGCCTTTCATTGCTTCTGCAATGGCGTCGTTAGCTGACATGTACCCGAATTTGAAGAAGGAGCAAGCCTCGTAAAGGATGTGTATATCAAAAATAGCTCGCACCTCTTGGGTTCCTTGCATCTCAAGGATTTGTAGATGGAACTCCCTGATGCATCCAATCGTGCAACAAGCCTTTCGAGCACATATGGAGCCTTTGAATTGGTTCGCTAGACACAGATACCATATGTCGTAGCTGAGACATCAAGCATTCTGCTTTTGGTAAATCGTTGATGGATATGTAATGAGCACCTGTTTCAAATCCCCAACGGGTATGGCTTCCATCATTTGTCTCCAGCTATCCAATTCTGGCGAGGCGATACTGCTTGGCAAGGTTAGCACTCAAGGACATCTGAATCAAGTCCAAGCATTACACTTTCGAGTTCCTTTAACTTGTGCCTGAAATCACTCATGTCATCCGTAATGGAAGACACAATGATTGGAGAACTATACTTGGTTCTGGAGATTGGTGTAGGTCCAACGGGTACGATTGAAATTCTTGTTGCAACATGGGACTTCCATACGGTGAGAAACTAATGGTTGATGATGAGTTGCAACAAACACGATTGCCATTCTTTGAGAACAACTCCCGAGTGCAACAATGATCAGAATAAGCTTGGATTGAGTAGTTGCCTTCGTTGTCACTGCTACTGTGGCTCAGTTGATCTAAAATTTGAAACTCAGGCAGACAATAGGCCTCTGCCTTTTGCTAAAAGCACAGCGTATTGAGTTTGTTGTTGAAGTCATGCATTTCTCTACTATGGCGATTCATTGAATGAAGAAATGCAAAAAATGGAAGAACATTGCGTGAAGCTAGGGTTATTTTAGTTAAATAAGAGGAGAAAAGGAGCAATCAAAGTGAAATTCCATTATTATCCTCGACTTAAACAAAAATTTGACGCCTGGCCGGACGGAGGACCATATTGATTAACATTTACAAAGTTGAAGATTTCATCAAGTAAAAAATATAGTCGAGAACCAAATTGGTAATTTCACCATAGTCAAAGGACCATTTTGTTAATTAACTCTTAAGAAATTGAAGAGAAAGTATATCTGATTTGGGGTGAGATTTACTAGGGATTCTCTTGATATTTCATTAGCATTCTTAATAGCAATGATGACATATATATCCTATTCATATTGCAACTTTTTTAATATTATTATTTTTCAAAATTACATTGAAAAAGTGAAAATTGTTACTTTTTTTTTTTTTTGAAACAATTACTCCATTAATTAAGATGAGAAAATTATAATAATATCTATGTTTTACACATGAAAAGGATTATAATATGAAAAAGTTCTCCTATATCTTCAATTTTAAATTATATTTTTATTTTTATATTATATTACACTTTTTTTTATTATTTAAGTATAATGTTGACTCTTTTTTTAATAACATTTTGTATATGATTAAGTTGTAATATGGATAGTTTGTTAAATCTTGATATGATCAACTAATTTATGAGTAATTAATGAATATAAAAAGATATTTTTAAAAAATATAAATAATGGCTCATTAAGATGAGATAAATATTGAAAGTAATTGTACAAAAAATAAAAACATATTTCAACAATAAAATATGACTCAAAAAATTTACATATCATCCTTATACTATTATCTCTAACATGGATGGTCTTAATTGACTATCACTTTTGAGTCTAACTTCGCTTTCACATTTTGAAATTTCTCCTCCTTAGATAGTTTGAGACTTTATCAAAAGACCCTTTATCTCTACTATGAAACTATTGTTGTTCCAAAAGATCGAAAAAAACGCAATAATAATCTTACGAAAAGGATTATTATATTCCTGAAAATTTCAGGGATAAACAACCACAAGGACGAAAGGGATTTTTGGATAGGTTTTTAGTACAAGTCGAGTTACACTCTCTCCTTAAAACCTTATTTGTTGTCTCCGAAATGTGTTAGGAGCGTTGCAGCCTAGGTTTTTCAGGATAAAACGTACTACGATTCTAAGTTTTGACCACTCAAACTTAGAATCCCGCAAACAAGAGAGTGGGAAGAACACAAGAGGTTGAAGAGAAGGAATAACAGGGTTTCGAGAGGTAAAACGTGTGATTTTGTTGCTTGTGAAAACCACCTGCTCAACCACAACTTATATAGGAGTTGTAGGATTAAATAGCATTTAATTCATGGCATTAATCTCTGATTTAAAAACCCAAATTGCACTACTGGAAATTATAGAATTTCCGACCACCTGAAAGTAATCTTAAATCAAGTCGAAAGCAAAAAGTGGTCGGAAATAGCAACAAAGGTTTTTCTGGATACCAAAAGTGGTCGGAACAAGGCTTCCGACTTGATTTAAGATCATTTTCTGGTTTCGGAAATTCCATAATTTTCAGTAGTGTTGTAACCTTCGAAACTGATAACCATTAACCTGGAGATTAATTATGAAATTTAAAATTGGAATTAATATGAAATTAATTCCGTAACATAAGAATTAATACTCCAAAAATGGTAACTTGAACGATACATTTGAGTTGTGCCCGAATGGTAATTCGAAAGATTACAACTAAGGGGTTAGCCATTTGGTTAAACGTCTTTGACCGAATGGTAGTTCTCCAATCGAGTGGTGACTACAACCGAGCTAGTACGAGGGCAACCATTCCTCTAACCGAGTTGGTACGAGTGGACAACCATTTGGTCAAACCTGAGTTGACCGAGTGGTAACTTATACGAAAATTTGGAATAACTTAGCCCTCAAGGCCAGCCAATTTTCCGGATGACATTCGTGCCTGCAGGTGCCGACGTACACAAGTCAAGCCTTTCCAAGCTCAATTTGGAATTTGATTTACACATGTAGTTAATTAAAATAGTTGGTAAAGTATAGAATATATACTACCTTGTAAAGAATTATGAGTGTTTAAAAAATAGATATAGGAAATTATATACCTTTAGTTAATTAAAAGTTAAGAATTTTTAATTATAAGTATAATAATTTAGAAAGTAATATATTTTACAAATATAATAATTTAGAAAGTAATATATATTGAATAAAATAGATATAAAGTATCAATGTATAGTGTGAATAATGCTTCTGGTTGAGAATATAATGTTAATCAATTCATTCATTGTACTAGAAATAATGCTTATAGTAGATAATTTTTGTTATATGAATGAACCATTTAAATTATTATATAAGTAATAAATATGTTTATAAAATTGGATAGGTAATAACTAATAAATATGTTTAAGCAATTAAATGGATTTTGGAAAAAAAAATGGATTTTGGAAGAGTGGTATTGTAACAACCTAAAATTTCATTTTATAAATCCAGTATTAAGAAATTCCAAAGTAACTTTTTCACTCCATTAAAAATTTTTGTGAGCAATCGGTGTTTGGATAAAATAATTTTTGTTCCATTTCAAAGTTAATTCAACACCAAAGAAATGAATTTCATTCGAAAATTCTAAAGTTTTCGGGTACTTTGCGTACCAAGATTTAAATCAAGAATTTTACCCGAGTGAGACCGGGAGAATTAAAAAGGAGATTTTGAACAAGTGTTAATCTATTTAGC